CGACTTTTTTTGCGATAGGTGGATCGAGCTGAAATTTTGGGAAATGAATAGTGACTATTACTTATTCATTTTCTGAAAGTTTTATCTTTACACATATAATGGTTTCAAAGATAATTACTTTTACAGTTGGCGCTAAGTGAGCAGCGGTTATTCTCATTGAACGTAGATCTGTCACATTCCGTTTCTCTTTGTTAGAATTTGTTATGTCAACCAGCCGAGTCAAAAGCATTATGCGCCTACCTGAAGTTCTTGCAGTCAGCCGACTTTAGAAAGAATTCAATGAAATGGATGAAAGCAAAGATGGTATTGTCACGAAAGAAAAATTGCAGGGTGCATTGATCTTTCTTTTTCTAATGTTCATCATTGTTTGTATGACAGAAATTCAGAATGGTATATGACAGAAAAGATAGAATGGTATCTTCGTGCGCCTGTTGAGATAGGTAGAAATCTTTAGTTGCTTCTCGACCTCTTGACGATTGTTTTGGAACCAGGAATGATGACTGAGAAAACTGTCGTCAATTTCAATAAGATTTTCAGCCATGTCAGATGATTCGGCAAAAAGATCGCACCATGTCCGATGATTCCCAACGAAGGCCTGTTCGAGTTTGTCTTTGCCTGCGAGTTGAAATTGTTTGTCAAGAAAACGAGCAATCGCCAATGATTAATGCAATATGACTCCATCGACTTCTAGAACAGGCATCTGACTCGACGGCGTATCGTGCTTGTGTGATGGCCATTCGCTCTGTTCGTAGCGAATAGCTTTAAACTTTTGCCGAGAGTCCAGAATAAGTCCAGACACCTCGACCGTTGAAGTAGTACAGCTTTATGTCGACATCGGTATCTGTATGCGTGTGTGTCTGTCCGGTAAAGCGAGAAAGAGAACGAATGAAGGGTAAATGCGGTATAATAAATCATTTAGAATGTTTCTTTTGCGAATAGATAGTGAAAGTAAATAGTAATTGAAAATCAACTTCAAAATTTGCTCGAACTACATGAACTCTTATCGAATTCAAACATCTGTATACGATGATTGAAATAATCGGCTACCCATAAATTTCCATGTCGATCGAATGTCAAATCGGTCGGATTTCGTAATTGATCAGATGCATGGCCTTCACCTCGTTTACCGACTATGATATCACCCGATTTACTATTTTTGAACCAACGCGTTATTCGATGATTGCCATATTCAGCGATGTACACTGTTTCCATCTGATCGACTAATACTCCCATGGGCTGATGTAACTGATGGAGATCTTTACCCATTCCATTGCCTCCAGCAACAAGAATACCTTCGGTAGCACCAATCGGCCATTTGACTATTCGATGATTGCCTCCATCGGCGATGAATATTGATTTATGTCGATCGATAAATATTTCATAGGGATACAGAAGTTGATTCAAAGCTTTTCCTTGTCCATTACCACCAGCGACTATCTTACCTTCAGGCCATTTTAAAATATGAGAATTCTCACTGGGATCCACAATATACAATAATCCATCGTTATCCAATGCCATTCCCCAACATGAAACATTCGAAAGAATTGTTTCACCATAATTTTCATTCTTAAACCATCGTAGTACACGTCTGTTACCACGATCACAAATATACATGGTACCTTGTTTGTCGATGACAACACGATGAACATAACTGAGTTGATCGGTATGATTGCCACTTCCTTTCATACCGACAATGATTGTCTGACTAGCTGAATCATCAAGCATCCATTTGACTATTCGATGATTGAATGTATCCGCAACATAGATACTTGAATCATTGTCCATAAAAAACGTTGATGGAAAATAGAATTGATTCAATGAAGAACCCGACCGATTGCTTCCGGCTTTAGTAATACCGTTCGTGTTCCATTTTCCATTCGTACAGATTCCATCATCAATTGTCGGTGATGTTACTACAGATAATAGAAAAAAAAGCGTGAAATACGACAAATATCCAAACGTAGTGTCCAGAGATAGACTTGCTTTGTTTCCATTCGCGACCTCCTGATCAAGGATTATTCTTTCACATATGCAAAGACCGTATTAGATGCGATGCGTTAGAAAAATGTTTCAAGCACTATAGTATCAATGACAATATTCAACAATAGGTCAGAACAGGGTGATAGTATGGATGAGGTCATTTTCTCTTCGTATCGACAAATTGCCAGTTCTTTGCTTTAGATCAGTTTGGAATAGTTTTACAAGTGAGTTAGGGAAATCCCATACACAGATCCCTCTGAAGAACCGGGTTTGCTGAAACGTAGAAGGATTCGAACCCATTTAGGTATCTATTTCACGCAATACCCTGCTGGAAAATTCCATATCGCTGGGAGAGAATCTTTGCATTAGAAAATGGGTGAAGCCTTGTTTTCAGTCTGGTATCATTGATTCAAAAAGGCTTCAATCTATTTTCTTGAATTCTTCTTTTCTTTTCTAAAAGTGACTGAAGAACCGCAGAAATGGGTCTAAGTTTTGAAAACTTCAACGTATGCGATCTCAGTTTTTGATGAAAAATGCGTGGTACCTTGGATTTGCAAAACTATCCTAATGATCTTTCTCCGCTTATCGCTAACCGTGAATGAATGTTTTGTACTTTGATCAGTGCCATCAATCGGTTTTCTTTGCTGATACTTTTAATCCTATTTACTGACTTCTGTCGATGTTTCTTCATCTGTTTTACAAGAAAAAGAATCTTAATTATCAAACGAATGACAAATAAAATCTGCAGTTCGACCAATAGAGATGGAGTGCATGATATATCTTACTGCATAATATTCTTGAATAAGAGTATAAGGATAAGAACGGCTACGAAATATGGTTTCAATGAAGCTTTCATCTACCGTACAGAAGAATGCGATTTGTCATACGTCTAGAAATAAAAACTCAATTTTGTTCGTTATTCAAAACGTGCTATAACATATTATAAAGCGGAATATTGAGCGTTTGTATGTGGACGAAACAGCAAAAGAAAGGGGATATTTGATCACCCCCATTCGAATAGACACATGTTTTGTATAATCTACGAGTTGTCCTCAAATGTCTTACCGCTCCAATCGCAAATTTGTAGTTCTTGTGACCATATGAGCGGCTTCGGACAATACTGCAAATATGCATGACCGTTTGAACAGTGCCAAAATGAGTGAGGATCATTGATATTTAAATAAAGTCCACCATTTACATTTGGACAAGTGAAACCATAAGCATAATTACACAAGTAACAACCAATAAGAAAGAATACGATGAGACGTGCCATTTTTCTTTCGAACTTCTACCCACTATGCTACACACCGAATCAGAACAATGATACTGTTTGCTTCTGAATATAAAGATTTTCACAGATGCTTCGTTTCACACTCATACTTGACGAGCAAAAAATCATTGATTATTTATGAATAGTGACGCGTCATCGATGTACTTGATATCTTTTCTTCAATAAATAAACCTTATATCAAGTAAGTGGTTTGTTAATTTTATTACTTTCCTTCGTATGTTTTTATTCTTTGCTAAACGTTTCTGTAAATAATCAAAGTTTTTTAGCTCGTCAGGTATGGATGTGCATGTGAAACGAAGCATCTGTGAAAATCTTTATATTCAGAAGCAAACAGCATCATTGTTCTGATCCGGTTTAACATAGTAGGCAGAAGTTTGAAAGAATTATGATGTCGTAATCGCAATGAGTGCACACTAGGGGTGTCACGCATTAGAATCTAATCATCGACATATCTCAAATAATATTTTACCTGAAGTTTAGAGGACAAGGACTCCCCAAGATGACCCATGAATATATTCGCAAGAATAGGTGCCAGAGGAGAACCCACGGCAACACCATTTGTTTGGCGATATATTTGTCCATCAAAGAGAAAATGTGTCTGAAGTTGCTATTTCTAAAAGCAACTCAAAATCCTTTCTGTTTTGACAGCTATTAATGTTTGAACACTTTTTAGAACATTTCATTTTACATTCTTCACTTAAAGTGTCTCATAGGCTGTGATCATATGCACTAAAATGAACGTACAAACTTCGAATTTTCGTTCTCGAAGTCGTGTGATGCTCAGAATTGGTACAGAAGGGTAGTTCGACATGCTCTATAACATGGGCTACGCGAAAACACGATACGAGAAGTTTTAAGGTAGGTTTCGGGCCCAAAACCTATTTTTAGAGGTTTTGATTTTTGGCCTTCCCTGGCCAGACTTGAAGTTTAATAGATTTTCTGATTGTGTAGGGTTGTAGAGAAATGTTTGCTCTATCAAACTCATGTCATACGACAACTCCATGCTATAAGAACTTTCGGCGCTAAGCCCACTTAAAGAAGTTCCACCAATAGGTGGCACCAGAAGCCGGTGCAACCTGGTTGAACGTTACATTTCCTGATAAAGTTACCTTTTCTCTTTCTAACAACGCAAACCACACGTCTCTAGCTACTTCCGTTGAGAAGTTATTCAAGTTGCAGCCAACTGCATTGTCCTATGAAATGGATAGTAGTAAAGTGTAAGGTTCTGAAGGATGATAATGATACAGTGCAGGGAGTCGTCTATGGCGAACCCAAAAGTGACTATGAGCGGCCTAAAGGATGAATCCTGTTGGTTGAATTTTTTCCACTTGATTAAGAAAGTACTGCAGCATGCCGCACCGCACTGTAAATTCGTGTCCATCTACGTCGATGATTTTCTTTTGTTCAAACATGTTATCCACATAAATGTAGGTGAAACTGTACCCTCAGATAGGTGTTTTGTCATCTGCTTATTAGGATTGTAATCCTAATATAAGATATTCTATACACCTCCAAACGAAACTGACATACCTTTCTTTCTTTCCTCAGTCTGTTCTTTTTCCAACATACACCTATACATTACTTGTAATCCTAATTAGTAGGTGACAAATCACCTATCTGAGGGTACACTTCTACCTACATGTATGTAGATGACATGTCTGAACAAAGGAAAATCATCCACTTAGATGGATGATGACATACATAAGTAGATGAAAATGTAATCCGTTTGTATGGAGCACCAATTTACAGTGCGATGACCCTTTAGTGCCGGGAATAAGAAGTTGCAAAACAGGTAAGAGTCGAACTCGAGAACACTTTCAAACTCTACGTCATTAACTGGAAAGTGCTAAATCATTTCGTGAAAAGAATTTCGGCGAAAAGTCGAAAAAATCTCTTATTATGAATATTGAAAACAGCCAGAATTGTTTCTTCGTTGAGATCTTGATTAGATATATTAATATAAGTTGCCATAACAATAAACAGAGTACTAATTGATGATAAAATCTATAATGTAAAGCACCTTGCTAGGAAAAGTGTACCGTAAAGATCAGTAAATGTTGTAATAGCCAATAGAAAATACTTCGGTTTTTAGAAAGGTTTCGCAGAAACCTTAGAAACTAAGAGAATACCTTTTAATGATCTTACGCACAGAATCAGGATGAACGGATAAAATGGAGTATTTTCTGAGTACCTCCCACCTTGTGAGGTGGATTGGATGGATTTTGGCTCAGATAAGAATGTTTTAATTTTTGATGAAAATAATCAAGAATCTTCTGAAACTAACATTGCCACGATTCAGCATAGTCGATAATCTGTGTTTTCAGTCATTTCTCACAATCACAAATCTAACACCAGGGAAGTGCTAAGGCTTCGGAAGAAACGTCCATAGCCCCCGAATCATAAATTTTCAAGATATCGCTTGGATGTAGTTTTGTAGAGGATACTTCGAGCTATATATCTATCGAAAACATTGGCCTATTTCTATGGCAGTTTCAGAGATTTAAACTGATTTTCCAAAACTCCTCTGAAAAATCGGCTTTGAAAAACCTTCCAAATATCGATATTGCTTATGGAAGTGTAGCATCAGATTTCTAGTTTTCAAAACTGAAAATCGCAGATTTCTATCATTTTTTATCGAAAGCTATTCAAAAAACAATCGAGGCCACTGTTCATTTGGATGGACAGTAGTAAAAGATCTTTTAAAGTGTTTCGATTTCGTTTAACAAACTAGAGCAAATAAAATGAATCCTAATAATGTTATATCGTAGACAAATATTTCTGGTCAAAAGCAGACTACCCCAGCTCTACCATATAAGGACGGAATGTAACCTGCTAAGAGATACTGGCAGCAACTATGATATTCGTCGTCGCAATAACGCCAAACGCCAGGACATCGAAAGTTTCCTCGAAAAAAGAGGAAAGCCGCCTTTCAAAGTTGTTTTTTCTATCATAGATGTTCTTAATCTCAAAGAGAGCCCGTTCATCAGACAGAGCTTGAAAAGATGCGTCGAATGCGTACCTTGTTGTCGTGTGAAAAAATTGACATGATTTTATGGGGGAAGTGGTTTACAAGAAAGGTCCTTTTCGGAAAAAACGATATTTTTAAGAATTTTTCTGAGAATGTGCTCAGCATTTTGTCCGTGACCGATTCTGCAGCGCTGCACATATAGATTCTAATCTGACGGTACCAGTTCATGAAAGTGTTTCGCTAAAAAATGATGACAATGCCTAGAGAAGGTCTGTTCTGCCGGGAAATGGGATCCCACAGGTCTAGCAGGCTGCGATGCCGTTGTTTTCAAACTTGTAAACATGATATTCGTCATCAGGAGCTCGAGCTGCAAGAGAAAAACCCACAAAGAGCACCTCAGTTAGCAACAGTTAAAAGAAGCTGCCCTAAGCTTATTAAAAATGGGAATATAAATAGAAGAATTAATTCACCATGTGATCCAAGAACGTGCACAACGGCATTACGATTCATTCATTTGTTTTTCTTTATTTTGCGGTGAATGAGTGCTGTATGAACTGGAAAACGATTCACGCAGTTTAATTACAAGAAAAAAGTGAAATTGGCTATAGTAAAATGATTTCAATCAAGTAAAACCATACTTTTCTCTTACAAACATCCTCTTAAACTGGGTTAGCCTAGAAGTGCCCAGACACAGTATTCGTTATACCATTTCCTATGGCTGTGACAGAGTATGTATCACCACTTGTTGGTTGATTTACACCGTTCAACAGAAACTGAACTTCGGATTGTTTACTGTCGCTTGGTGTAATTACTTGACCGGTGATAAGTATAAATGTATATATAATTTGCTTACCATTGTCGATGTAGGTTTTATTTATGGATGAAGAAGTATACGTTGTGAAATAGTTATTATATGTTGCACTGACCGTTTTCTGTACTGTGAACGTGATTGTTAATGACGTAAGTGTTACATTGTTCGTCAAATAAATATCTTCTTGACAATAATTTATACCACAATCTGTTACATTCGATGTTAAACTAATGATTGACATTGATGATGTTGTTTGTCCATCCTGAAATGATTCCAGAATATGACAAGAGAAATATTTTGCTTGTCGCATAGTATAATTGAGAGGCATTTATGACGGCTCTTTGTATTAAGAAGTTATTCATAATAAATAGTTTAACTTACCATTGTATCATTGTTTGATGTATTTTCTAATCAAAAAGACGAATATGATTGAGTATTAATTAAGCAAATTAGGTCGTGATACACACGACACTAGGAAAAAGATTCGATTTATATGTAAAAAATTGCCTGATGTAACTACTGCATTCCTATGCACTGATTATGATCGGTGGTCACTTACTCTGTGTTAACCAAATAGCTAGAATGGGAATTAATGCTAAAAGACAGCATGAGAGTCCAATAATCCATCCGATCATGAGATATTTAAATTTTGGTGCTCTAAAGTAAATAAGTTACAACATGCCAGAGAAAAAGCACCAGTTGAAGTGAAAATAACCTGAAGAAAGAGCTGAGCTGTCCGTCCGCTGATAAATCTTTCTTTGATGACCATGCATTAGTTCTGAGCATTCTAGACCCTTGTTCAGGGAAATAGATACTTTTTGAATCTGCATTAATGGGTATACGATATGGCTGATACATCTAAGAAGGCAAAGTGCATAGTTCATTAAAGTCGGTTATTTACCATATAAATATCCTTATTGTTTATACCTTTTACAGTAGAAATGATTGATACCGTTCAAGAAAGATCATTGAACTTTAAGTTTTCAATATGTTACTCGTCCTATGATTCATTTACAAGTTTATTTAATTATTTGGACCGGTTTCGACATCAAGACAAAATTGTACATGTGACAAAACTACCCATGTCCGTCGAATGCGTCTGAAGGAACGCGTTTGATTTCGAAAAGACGCGTTCTAACGCGTCTTTTTCGATGAACAGTTTTCACACGCGTTTAAGCGCGTCTGAAAATGTTTCGTCTCTTTCTGAAACAAAATGCGTCTATACGTGACCAAATCTGGTGCGTCCTGGCGCGTTTTCTTATAGGAAAAACATTAGACGCGTTAAGATGTACTTTTTCTAAACGCGTCTCGATGCGTTTATTTATCTTTTCCCCAGAGAAACGCGCAGCTGCACCGAGCTATTTCTGACACGTCTAGACGCGTCTCTTCTATAGATAAAATTTATGGAGGACTTTACGAATGATATATACTAAGAGATTTCAGTATTTCACTACAAAGGAAAGTCTTCTAAATGATGGTACTCAAAAAGAAATTTTCGACGTATACGATGATTATAAAAGG